CAATAACTACACTGCGACTAGCCAAGGACTCGAACCCATGCTGCTTTGACCTGCCTCATGGTGGCCAAAAACTCATGACGCCTTAATCCACCTCAGACCTCAGACGTCGATGGTGCTTAGAAGCCTCACTAATCGCCGTCGCCGACACAATAGAACGTAACACTGGAAACCGCAAAATTTCAAAAACATTAGCATACATGATACTTAAGCACCACCAACCCAACAACAACACAAGAGTCACATGATTTCATCGTCCACCCGTCCTCATCCCAACATGGCATTCTTCAGGTCACCATGCGTCACTCACACCTCACTCTCCGCCTATATATATAATGTCTTTCTACCTCTGTATGTTAGAAGTGATCAAGGTCCCAGGACCGAAACGTTTTCTAATAAATATGTTTGCTTACACACACACACACACACACATAAATATATATATATATATATATATATTATAATATATATATATATATATATATATATATATATATATATATATATATATATATATATATAATATATGGTGAAAGTGTTTCTTTTTTGGGTCATCTGGTTTGACTCAAGAAAGTGGAGGTTAGCTTCAATTCCTTCAATCAAAAGCCTCGGGAATGGATGTTACAGGGGTGTGATGTTTAGGATCACGGTAAGACTAGCCAAAGAAAACGGTTAATTGAATGAGTACAAATTCTTTGAGAGGTTTGCAAATTTTAGGTATTCGATATCATATACATTCGGGTAGGTTGGTTAAAGTGCAAAATTTAATATTGGAATATTAGCAGTTTGAGTAATTATAGAGACGAGTTCCTGGTGTTTTTTGTTATATAGTTTTCCAACGTTAAGTAGGCTGTGGAATGGAGGTAGTTATATTTTCGGCCTATGGGGAAAAGTTTTTTTTTTTTTTTTTTTTTTTTAACTCCCCCCAAAAAGTAATCTAACCTAACCTAGAGTTATATCTCCTAATCTAGGTTAGAGTTGGATATTTTTTTATTAATTTTTTTGGGGTTACTATATATATATATATATATATATATATATATATATATATATATATATATATATAATATATATATATATATATATATATATAATATATATAAAATTCCCATAGACCCAACATATGTGTCTTCATTGCACTTAACGTTGGAGAATTTACATAAAGTTTCGCTAAGCTCAAAACACATGGACCTCATCTCTGTGTTAGCCACACTTTGGTATCAACGGTTTTCCTTGAAGAAACGGGGTTATATGCAAGGTGTTTCACCCGTAGGAGGCTTCGAGTTGGTACTCCAGTAGTTGTAACCGTCTTGTTTGTATATTGTGTCTGTAGTACCCAATAACTTGGGGCCTCATGCTCGTAGGAGGCCCCGAGTTATTATTTACTACAGACGCAACGTACAAACAAGACGGTTGCAACTACTGGAGTACCAACTCGAGGCCTCCTACGGGTGAATTATTATTATTATAATCAAGGGGGAAGCGCTAAACCCGGAGGATTATACAGCGCCTGGGGGGGGGATGTGGAAGGCATTCAGGCTTAATTCGGGGAACTGGAGCATAGATCCAATTCCCTAAATCAAGAGCCCCTCACCAACATCAAGGAACCTTCCTTGAGGGGTCCTACGGGTGAAACACCTTGCATATAACCTACGGTTGTAACAACTACGGGAGTACCAACTCGGGGCCTCCTACTCGTAGAAGGCCCTGAGTTATTGTTTACTAACAGACACGGTATACAACGAGACGGTTGCAACTACTGGAGTCCCAACTCGGAGCCTCTAGCGAGTGAAACACCCTGTGTATACCCCATTTCTTCAAAGAAAATAGTTGCTACTATTGGAGCAGCAATTCGGGGCCTCCTGCGAGTGAAGCACCCTGTATAACCAAGAGATGCATATCTGAGTATATACAATAAAACGTGTATCTGGCAGTGTATATACGATGAGTGTACTTTAATCCTTATTATTTTAAGGATTCACAAATAACCCCCCTGCACACAGAGATGCTTATGACGACGTTTCGGTCTGACTTGGATCATTTGCAGGTCACACTGCGACTGATGTCAGCTTAGCTGGCAATTTTGTCATGCGATGCGACCCACACCAGTCGACTAACTCCCAGGTACCCATTTTATACTGATGGGTGAACAGGGACAGCAGGTGTCTTACGGAAATACGTCCTAATGTTTTCCAGCTGTACCGGGGATTCGAACTCCGAACCTCATTGTGTGAGGCGAGTGCGCTAGCGATCCAGCAAGCGATGGACGGTAACTTCGTCATAAGTTTCTCTCTCTTATGTGCGGGTTAGTTATGCATTGTTCCAGTCACAGTATTGTGCATTTTTTGGTGATTATTTTAAGGATTAAAGTAATCTTGACTGGTGGTGAACAGGTGAAATGCATCCTTTGACCCTTGTGTAGTTGATAGGCTTTAAGCCCAATAAATCAACATGTAGGCTTAGAGTATAGGAAGATGGGAGGGTAGTGTACATTGTAAGGATA